ATAGATTGATTGAGTTGTTATTCGTGAAGGATGCAATACGCATGAAGTAGGAAATTGCTCGGTAGCTTAAATATGTGGATTACTTCTTTGGGTGTTGTTGTGCTAATGGGGCACAAGTCGTTTGGCTCGTTTGGGCGACGCAATTGAGATTCGAGCAAAATTGATGACTCTTGAGAAGGATCTAATGGATTCAGGATTTATATGTAGCAATTGTGAGTTTTTCCAGATTAACATATGGCTAGGATCTGAGATTTACATTGGATGTTGTCGAGACTCACAGTATTTCTATGTCATTATTGATTTTACATTTTGGTATCTGGAAGGTGAGGCTAACGACTTTAGATTCACAGAATGTCTCTTCAAAATGGGTATCTCGGTTGTGGTACTTTTAGGGTACTTAAGAGGGAATACAATGAGTTATTTTTTTTTCTACTAGGTTATTCTCCTTGTAGCTGATATAAATATATAATAAGCCCTAAACTTGGGAAAAGTTACACAATATTCAAGTAAAAGAAAAACAATGAAAGCCAAAGGTTATTGCTACCAAATACAATGTAGAAACAACATAAAGATAGAGGAAAATTACTAAGCTACAAATTTGAAACAACCAATTGTTGCTGACAACAATGAAATTCACGCACCATTTGCAAACAATTCCTTGTATCACCTACAAAGCTTTCACCAGGTGCCATTTGTTGCAATCCGAAGGAGTAGGTATGTATAAATCCACAAGATATAGAGCAAAGGAGTTCAAACATCTTCACTATAGGGCTATCTAATTTCAGCAGTAGTATTGACACTAAAATAAATCATTTGATACTTCCTTGACGGAATGAGTAGTATTGATTGAGACTACGACTGTAAAATGACATAGCTCCAGACAATTGTTCTACTTGACCAAGTTCTCCTGTGCAACAATAGATCATAGGTGAGTTTGATGTCGTGGATGCCACACTGGAGCATTGGAGCAGGTGAAACTAATAGCATTTGCTCAATCTGTGAAATGACCACGCAAACAGTCCTAGAAAATGTAAGGATCAAACTCGCACCAACATTAGTTGATATGCACAAAACAGTTTAGTTGTTCAAATTTTTGTGTTGCAGAAACCAACAAGTACTGGTGTTGTCAGTGCTGTAATTCCCAACTCCCACCAATAAATTCCCTATAGATTGATACTGGATCAACTAAACTGAATCTTCCATCTTTGAAAAGTCCATAGTTTTGACGAATTTGAATAAGAGTAGAAGTAGGCCCCATGTCTTGCAATCTGAATGAATAGGTCTGTGTAAATCCATAGCAGGGACAACAGAACCATTTGGATATGTTCAGTGCATGGTGAAAGAAGTTTAACTATAGAATATTTGTTGAAATGGAGCATTAATATATGATATTTCTATGCATGAATTCTCCATGTAGTTGTAAAACTAAACCAAACAACTAATTTCGAACCAATCTCTAGTTGCCTGAATAAGTACAACAAATGCTTCCACTGTGTTGATAAACCATACCCAGAATGAGCATTAAAAGAAAAATGCTAATACCACTAGAAAATGGCACATCTCCATACTGTCAGTAAATAGTCCTACACTATTCAGTGCACATAATGAGAGTAATTCCATCCTTCCAATGAATGTATGAGAGTAATTCCATACTTCAAATGAAGATAAATGCCTCATTAATGTGAGCGTATCTCTGGAATAAATTCCATTGGCAATTGATACGTGAACAAGCAAATACTGAACAATAAGAAATTGGATGTCTTTATATTTGGCATGTTGGACTGGAGCTGTAAAATGTATTTGTATAAGATCTGTCCATGCCATTGCCTCAGTTTGCTGAACCTGTCTTGGGAACCTGCAAAATGTAGGAAACAAGTTAGGAAGGGAGTTTGTGCTCCCAGGTTCTTGTGTGGTCTGGGAGCATTGTAGAAGCTTGGTCTGTAAGAGAGGTAAGAGGACTTTGGCTGTTGCTAGGTTTGTATATTATTGTTGTATGTCGTTAAACAACACCCAGAATGAGAATGAAGTCATGCTAATAACACTGGGAAATAATGAGATAACACACAACCATGCCATACCATCATAAGCATAGCAGTAAAAGCAAATCTACGTGAGTGTAGGCTGCTTATTATATTGAAGGTCATGATATGGATGTAAGCCCAGTAGCAATGAAGAAATAGTAGCTCCAATACATAATTATTGGTTTGCTCAAAAGTGGCTATATCCAACCAATCTGCTACACCCAATCAGCTACACCCTACAAAGAGGTGCATGTGTATTGCACATGCAAAGGAAACTAACAATGCTAATAACAAATTGAGTAAGACAAGAGTGTAAGAGTAAGTTGTTGGTCATTGGTTGCAGCAGTTGTATGCTTATGATGACATGTTGTTGAAGAATATAGAGTTGTGAGATACTGGTGGGTGACTGTTTTAGGAATGTTGATTGTATGCTGCATTTGGTGGTGTTGAAGTGAAGAGAGTTGTGGTTGTCTTGCCTGCTTGGCTTAAAATGCTTGTCTTGCCTGCTTGGCTTAAAATGCTTGTCTTGCCTGCTAGGAATGCAGATATATGAGTCAACGAGAGGCAAAGCATTATATGATTTGATCATCAATCAGGTTCTCTTGTCTTTGCAATCCTAATTCAAAGGTTAGGAATTTGTGATTTGTCTATGTTGATCAGTTTTTTTTGCCGCAATTGGTAATTAATAAAACGGCTGAAATGTTAGTGTACCTACAAAAGAGAAAGCTAGGTTAGCAAGAAAATCCGCAATAGTGTTCCCTTCCCTTTGTACATGCTGAAAGAGAATTTTGTAGTTGTTCATTATCTGCTTGAGCTTCCTCACTTCAACACTTATACACCATGGAGTTGCCCATTCCCCATCAATAATCTTCCTTATCACCAAGGAATCAGTCTCCATAATCAGTTGATGTAATTGCCTTTCAACACAGTATTCTAACCCCTCACAAATAGCCTTTGCTTCTGCCATTATATTGGCTGCCTCTCCTAATGCACTTGCTTTAGCAAAAACCAAATCACCCACATGATCTTACGCACAAAAGCCATATGAGCTTGGTCCAGGATTACCTCTTGATGCATCATTTGTGTTGCACTTGAACCACCTTTCATAAGGAAGCTGCCATGTGACTTTCTTAGTCACAACAAATGGCTTGTAACCCTCCAAGAATATGATCAGTTCTGGCCATAAAAGGGGGATGCCTGATAGCCATGGATACCTCACTCTTGCTAGGTAATGTAGTGTCTTGTTCACCTCATTAAGTACCCTATTGCAGGATATTACACCTTTATATTTTATTGTATTTCTCCTCTTTCAAAGTTCCCATGTGATCACCGCTAGAACTGCTTGAAATAATGGCTTTAGTTTAGGACAACATTGTGCATTCCACCATGCTCTTATTACTTGATGAACTTGTATCAGATTTACTACCAACCATACTTCCTGAAGGAAAGTCTTCCATACCTTGTTTGCAGTTTCACTCTTTAAGAACAAATACTGGAATGAGACCTCTTGTGGTTGTGAGCAACACCGGCACTTGGACACTATCATGCACCCACCTCTCCTCCATAAGTCATTTGTGGGAATCTTCCCTTTCCACAATCTCCATAGAAAGAAGGAGATTTTAAATGGTACACCTTGAGTCCACATCTTAATGTAATCAGGATTAGTAGGTCTCTATGCCTCAGAATTTTCCAAGCACTCCTAAAAGAAAAATTTCCTGAAGGTGTAGGCATCCATCTAGGAAAATCCCATCCATCGTCACTAGTGAAAAATAAAACTTCCTGTCTGATATGTTGAGCAATGTCTATAGGAAAAGACTGATCCAAGATTTTCTCATCCCATGCATCATCCACTCTCAAGTCAACTACTTCTTGTATATCTTCATTGATTGCGTAGTCTCTTAGAATAATATAGTACAAAGCTCCCAGTCCAGTCCAATTCCCATGCCAAACGTTAGTTGATCCCCTTTTCATTTCCCATAATATTGCATGCTCCACCTCTTCGCTGGCTTCTAACATTTTCCACCATACATGAGATCCCCCTCGAAATTTGACCACTATTGGCAGCTCTTTTTTACAGTATTTGTTACACATGAAATTAGACCATAAGGACTTCTATGTCCTAAACTTCCACCACAATTTGGAAAATAAAGATCTAGAGACATCGTACAGAGATCTAAAACCTACTCCCCCTTCTTCCTTTGGTAGGTAAAAATTTTGCCATTTTGTCCAATGTCTACTTCTACCTTCATCCTTGTTACTCCAGAAGAACCTAGCAAAGGTTTTATGAAGGTGTTCAAGTACATTTTTAGGTGGATCAAGGATAGAAATTATGTGTGTAGGCATGCTTTGTAGGACACTAGTGATTAATGTAGCTTTTTCCCCATAGGATAGTAGCTTCCCTTTCCAATAGTGCATCTTTGCATTCACATTTCTAATCAAGCCATTGTAATAATCCTTACTTCTTCTTTTGTAGAATATTGGACTTCCAAGATAAGTGAATGGAAACTCACCCCTTGAGAATCCATTAATAGCACCTATAGAGTTGAACAGTCTTGCAGACACAATAGAGTGCATATAAAAGGAACTCTTTGTCTTGTTGATCATTTGGCAAGAAGTGTGCTCGTACTTGTACAAGACTTCTATAATCTTCTCTAAAGAGTATGAATCAGTTGAAGCAAAGATTATAGTGTAATTTGCGTAAGCTAAATGATACAATGGATCAATCCACTTGGGCATGACAAAGCCCTTGAATCTCTGATCTTCAAATAACTTATTTAAATACCTATACAGTACCTCTGCAGAGAATATGAACAGGGCTAGGGAGAGAGGATCCCCTTGCTTGACACATCTTGTTGAGTGAAAGAAACCCGAAGCTTGACCATTAATTAGAATAAAATACCAGTTGTTGGATAGTAGATTCCACACCATGTGGATGAAGCATTCTGCAAATCCCATTGTCCTCAAAACATGCATTAAATACTACCAAGAGACCCTATCATATGCCTTTGCCATGTCAAGTTTGATAACTACATTGGCAGGTTTTTCCCTTAATCTTATGTCAGTAACAATCTCCTGAGTTAATAAGATGTTTTCAAATATACTTCTTCCTCTGACAAATCCTGACTGGTTGGAAGGGATCATAGAAGGTAGTATCTTTTCCAGCCTATCATGAACAACTCTAGATATCAATTTATTTATAAAATTACTTAAGCTTATAGACTTAGGCAAAGGACTTCCTCCATAAAATAGTTTCAGCATCTCATGTATATCTTCTCCTATTATATCCCAACATTCTTGAAAGAAAATGCCTGTGAAACTATCTGGACCACCTGCACTCTCAGCATTCAATGCAAACACTGTTGCTTTTACCTCCTCAATTGTAGGAATCCTACAAAGCTCTAAGTTCTGATCACTAGACACCATTGTAGGTACATTGTTTAGGAGCTTAGAGCATGTAGGATCATCTTCTTATGAAAACTACTTCTTGTAAAATTCTACTGCTGCATCAGCCAACTAATCTTATGACTCAATCCAAGCACCATCATGATTCTGGATTCTCTTAAGTTGTAGCTTTTGCCTTTTTCCATTGACATGGTTGTGGAAAAATCTAATATTTCTATCTCCTTATGCAAACCAGGACATTCCTGCTTTTTGTTTCAAATACTGCTCCTCTATGCTCAGATATCTCTTTAACTCAGATTGTGCTTTCTGAAGAACAATTCTATTCTCTATTGTTGGTTCTTCTTCAAATAGCATTTTCTTTACTCTGACCACATCTTCTCTTTAAGCTGGTTGTTTAGAGATGTCCCAATAAGTGAGCTTACTCTATTTTGAAAGAGCAATCTTAACTCTTTTTAGTTTCTGTTTGAACATCAAGAAAGGGTCACCTGTGAAATCAACCAATTAATTCTGTCTAACTACCTCCATAAAAGAGGCATGTTTTGCTAGAAATTTAGATATTTGAAAGGTTTAGCAATTCCTGTGGTCTGCTTACCACTACTCATTAGTAGTGGTGCATGGTTAGAACCTGTTCTGATGTGGTGCTCCACTTCTGTACAAGGGAATAAAGTCTAGAATGGCACATTGACAAAAATTCTGTCCAAACTTTTGAATGTGCATTCTGAGTTTGCTCTCCCATTCCTCCATGTGAATGGACTTCCTTTGTTCCCCATTTCAAATAGCCCACATGAGTTTACACAGAAGGCAAAATCATTATATTCTTGAGGGTAAATTGTCAGTCCACCAATCTTCTCTTCTTCATTAAGAATCACATTGACGTCCCCTCCAACCACCCAAGGTAATTCCATGTCTCTAGCAAGGTAGTATATATTATCCCATAATTCTAATCTTTCCAGAATGATATGCTTCTCAATATCTTGATGATAAACCATGATAGTAAGTTGCTGGTCAGTGCCAATCACCACATCCCACCGGACCACAGCATCAAGAAATAGCCATATCTTGCCATTGATATTAGATATTGTTGCTTCCATGCCTAGCCTCCTTCTATAGTTCTGAATAAGCCCTGCTTGTGGAAAGGCTCCATGAGTGCTATAATGAAAAAACCATGTTCCCTTTTCGTGTTGATAACTCTCTGAAAGGCCTGCAGAGTTTTAACAGACCTTATGTTCCATATGAGTGTCTTAATCATCATCTAGTGGTGGAGGCTGCCCTCTTGAGCAGTATTTTTGTAGGAAGTTGTTGTTCCTTATGATGAGTTTGCTTCCTTCCTTTCTTACCATGTTTAACTGCAGTCTTAGGTGACAAATCTCCTTCCCTTGCCACAAACTTGAAATTCCCAACTGTAGATTCATCAGCACCTTCATCTTTTAGTTGTTCATTAGTGCCCAAGTCTTTATGAATTTTTAAAGGCAATTCCTTGTGTGCAATAATGTCATGTATAATCTGAGCAGGAGATTGCAGTGGTTTATTGATTTAAATCTCCATTGGAGATCTAGTGGCTGATGCAATTGCCATAGGCAGTATCAATTGTTGTTGACTCCCTAGAAATTATGGATGACCCTACCTGCTCTTACACAATTGTTGGATCCTTCCCATCTACATTTTGAGACAATGACCTAAGTATCTAGTGATATATCTCTGCATCATCATTACTGACCTTCTCCCTCTCTGGTAATATTACCATTTCACCTTCAACGTTGGTTACTAGTTCCCCAATTTTGTTGATGTCCAAAGCCTTCCTGGGTACCTCTGTATTAACTTACGCTGGCATTGAATTAACTCTTTGATAATCAAGTCTTAGTCTTTTATGTGCCTCTGAACTTACTTCACCTCTCCTAGTGGAATAGAGCCTGTAGTTTTTCCATTTTAATTAGGTGAGTCCACAAATGTCTGAAATGGTATTTCCTGACATGAGTGGTTGAGGGTCACATTAAGTATTTCCTTATGCATTCCAAAGCTCCTTTGAACCTAGTCAACGATATTATTTTTGTCCCTGAAGCATTTTACCCAATATCGATAGAGATAGAGTTTATGGTCAGCTCTGCAGATTTATGATTGGAATTTGATTTTTCAGCAGTTCTTAGATATTGGTTGTATAGATATTCCAAAATTTGATGCTTCTGATGTTGTTCTTTGAGCTTGTCCCTACCCTCACTATCAGATTCATAAGTCACATTATTGATAATTCCAACATCCCTATTGTTTTATGTGCTTGCCTGATTTGCAGTAGTGGATGGTTGGTTTACCATGCTGGTATTACCACCTACCTGAGCAGACTCATGAACTGTCTCAGGAGCTGCTATTCCAATAAAGTGCCTGTCTCATTAGGTGGTTCCTGTGCACTAATCTGTCCTCCATTACATGCATCAGCACTATCAGCAGTATTATGAATGGCCTTTGGTACAGTCTCCAGTGGCTTTGGTAGAGCACATTGTGATTTGTTCATTATACCTGAGGGATGGGAGGGTATGGATAACTGTGTCTCAAGTGCTTGTTGTTGTGGTTGTGTCTCTTTCTTTTGCTTGTTTTTCTGGTTTACTCACTTGAAATTCTTCTTTTTTTGAGATTGCCATTGATCGTTGGAATGGTTATTTTTTTTGGTTGTTGCGTAGTTACTTTTATGATTTATTCTTCCTTTTTGCTCCTCATATTTGCATCGTTCCTCATTTTGTTTGTCGCAAGTCTGATCATTTTTCTATCCCTGTACCATTTGCTCCTGTGGTGTTGCAGTTGCTCCCTCTAGCTTGTTTGTAAGCTGATCGTTAGCATTGTGAGTTGTTGCTGCTGATTTCTTCTTCTCTTGTTCTTCCCTTTTTCTGATAGTGCATTTGCACTCTTCATGACACAAGTGCCTGCAGTGTAAGTAGTAATATGGTAGATCTTTATATACTACTTCCAGTTACTGGCTATCCCCATTCACATTCTGATCTTTATCAAATCGTAGCCAAACATGATGAGGCGTGTCCTTAGTCAAATCCACCTGCATCTTGACTTTTGCAACACTTCCCCTATATTAGAAATGCCATGGAAGTTCTGGAATGACTACCCAAACATGGATAATTGGATTATCCTCATTTGGATTGAAATTGGGTGTCCAAGCTTGCAATTCCATTCTTTGACCTTGGATGAACATGAATGATTTTGTCCAAACAGTAGTGTGATGATACTCATTGTCTAAGTCAATGTAGATTGTTCTTGCATTGAAATGAGCTATTTTAACTCCTCCTCTGAGATCTGTTTGTGCTATGAATATTCTCCTTATTTGTTCCATTCTAAGCATTGTGTTAAGGAATTTGCCCAAAATTGTATATTGAAATCTGTTAGCCTATGTGACCATATAATCTGTCCTGGTTAAAATAACAGCTGGTTGGTCCTGTTTGGTAATGATTCTGGGAGGTGTGAACTTTATTGGTGTTATCTCTGAAACATGCCTAGCTATTAACTTTGTAGTTAGAGATTGAGTGATAGTAAGTTGTGGAGGAGCAGAGATACACTGCAACATGCCTAGCTATTAACTTTATTGGTGTTATCTCTGAAACATGCCTAGCTATTAACTTTGTAGCTAGAGATTGAGTGATAGTAAGTTGTGGAGGAGCAGAGATACACTGCAACATGCCTAGCTATTAACTTTATTGGTGTTATCTCTGAAACATGCCTAGCTATTAACTTTATAGCTAGAGTTTGAGTGATAGTAAGTTGTAGCTAGAGATCGAGTGCCTAACTATACCTAAGCACTCGTACCTATAATCTTGGGATGGGTATCTCTTATAATGTGGTGAGGTTGAGTATTTTGGTTAAAAGAAGTTGGTAGTTTATAGGTGTTAGGGGTTTTTAGTTGAGTTAAGTTGGATGAGTTCTTTGTGTTTGTGTATGCTGGTGCTGTAGAGATTGCTTGATTTTCTGGTTTGTCTTGAAGGGTAGTTTCTTTTGGCTTTAAGCTAGGTTTGCTGGTGTTCTGGTGCTGGCTTGTAGCTAACATTTGGTAATGAGTACATGGATGTTTGTTAAAGTTAGTAGATATTTTAGGAGAGGTTGATGAAGGTGTTATCTGAGCAAGTTAAGGGTGTGCTTGAGTAGTTAAAGACTCGTTTTCGTTGGTCAGAAGAGCTACAGAGACATTACCTGAATGAATTAATGTTGTTGAAGAAGGGGTTGGATGTAGCTGATCAGTAGGAGTTGGTTTGACTGCTTTGTCTTTGTTATCAGGAAACTACTCAAGTGATCTATGTCCAGTTGAATGGGCAGGAACATTACATTCATTTAACATCACAACATCAGGGGCAACATTTGGTCGCGCAACAAGGTTCTCAACATGCGATTGAAATTGAACAAGCCGATGACTTCCACGAACTAGCATTGAATCGTTTCCATCCAATTCAATCACAGCTTGCACATCAGTATTTGTAGGAGCAACCTGTGCTGGCAATGTGGTTGCTACTATAGGTGTCAATTTTTTTCAACCTCTTTTTCTGTTTGCTCTATTGTATTTTCATGACAACTAAGCTCAACATGACTTTGTGAAGCACAACCATTCATCTGTTCATTAAAATTGATATCAAAACTGACCTTGGCATTTCGTCGAACAGATGGCATATGAGATTATGCGTATACTGGGTTCTGTCATTTTGCTCCAAATTGCTCATCGTGGTTGTTGTTTGAGGGGTTGGGATCAATATCCCGATCAATTGTAGAGGATTGGAATTGGTTTTAACTAACTTGGTCATCTGTAGCTCCATTCGAGACCAACCACTATTTGTCGTTATTATTCTCCTATTCTGAATCAAGGTTTCCTGTTGTGATGTATTCTGAGACATTGTGGGTTGATTGTAAATGTTGTGTTGAGTAATCTCCATAGATTTCAATCAGTCGTTTTGACCCAGTGATGTTGCAGTGTATCTCTGCTATCTCCTGGCAATTGTTTGGTAAGAATCCATTTCTGCCATTGTTGATTTCTTCAGTAG